GGTAAATAATAAAGTTTATTAGTAAAAAGGGTAAGTATATATATATATATATATATATTTAGAAGGTTTCAGAGGTTGTGCAAATGAAATTCAAAATTTGTGAAACAAAGAAAAGTATTTTAAATCTTAAAATGAAAATCACCTTGCACTAAAATGAAAATCACTCAGACTAGTTAAAAAAAAGAATCAATATTTTCATGGACAAATATAAGTAAAAATACTTCATTAAAAAATCTGATTTTTTGTGTGCAAAAGGCTTCTAATGTTTACTATTAGTCTACAAAATTTGTTAAAGATACACTTAAAATATTAAAATTTATAGCATGAAAACTATACCAAGCAAAAAATGGTTATGAGCTTGGTCCCAGTGACCGAGCCCGTGTCAAAAGAGTTAAAGATATTTAACATTTTGAATAAAAATGAAATCAAGCTTCTGTGATACATTTGATTTATTTAGCCACGGCATACTGACTAATAGAATGGCTGGTTTTGTTTCAAGTACAAACTTTTTGCTAATAGCTCCATCTCTTGACCAATTTGAGATCTAATTACAGCTTCAACTATTGAGGATTCCCTCTTGTTTTATTTTCAAGTTCATACCAGCTGTATTGATGTTTGAGTGTGACATATTGGCTTAATGTATGTTAATGAAATAATTTTGAATGGAATGTAAAAGCAAATCAGTTAATGACATTATAATGTTTGTTTGGGAAACAAACAGGTGTAGATTGTATTGGTTAATAAATGAATGAGGTATAATAGGTAGAAAATTTAGGAGAAACAACTAATCAGGTGTAAAATATATTGGCAAAACATCTGTAGTCAAATATACAATCATATTACATTTGCCTTTAAATAATTATGTGAAGTTTTAGAACTTAACAGCTAGTAATAACTGTCTGTGCATTTTTATGCTGTAGCATCTTGTTAGGTCACTTTGTGAAATTTGAGTTTTAACAACAAGTAATATTGGTGTACCAAGCTTTCATATATATTAGATATTAGGAATTAATAATACCAATGTGTTATGTTGTAGGGTGAAACAGCATTTTAGATTATTATGCAGAGCTAAGGTTGTAAAAGATTGTTTATTAGTATGTTTACTATCAAGCTGTAGCAATGAGCTCAGCGCTTATACTTGAAACATGGTTATTTTCTATATTGCATTGAGTTTGAACAAAAATATTGTATGATACAAATATTTTCATTGTTTTCATTTCTTTTACCTTAATGTACAATCTTACATGCAGGAAGGCCTGTGTCCCAGTCTTCTAGTGACTTGTCATCTAAACTGTCACGCAACACTGTCAAACAACTGTGTGGACCCTCTGTTATACAAGCTCCATCAAACTCTTCTATTAATGGTATCACAAATGGTGTATCTTCCACCAAGAAGACATTACCTGTTCCTCTTCAGCAGAACCGAGAGAAGGTATCATTCGGTATCCGACGTTTTCCTGCAGTTCTAGACAAGAAACCAGGAACATCTACCAGCAAACCTATATCTGGTTTAGTGCCTTATACTGAAGACTCAACTGAATCTTCAGATAATGAGAAAAATGTTGATGATGGAAAAAAGCCAGTCAGTGTTCAGAGCAACTCTCTTCATCAAATACATAATAAAGGTACTCATTCTGATCCTGTTCCTAGTCATGACGAAGCACCTGTTGTTCATAAAGATGCCACTACAGTTAAAGAATCAAATGATAGTGTGATTCTCTCAAATAGGAACAATGTAGGTCTCAAGCCAGCTAATACTCATCTTGAGTCTTCAAGCAAGGTGAAAGCTACCTCTACATGGCATGTGACAGATACGAGTCTACATTCACCCTCAGTTGCCTCTGGCTCCAGTAATAACAGTGTAATTTCCACAACTGATTGGAATGTAATAGACCAACAAGATGTGTTTAATAAGTTGAAGGGAGATCGAGCATTTCCTGGTTGGACTGTTACTTGTAATGAAAAAGACTCAGCAATGGATAAATTGATTCCTCATAACTCCTTAATAGAAAGGGGTAAGCCTAATAATCCTCAACTTTCAACTAGTTGTCAGTCGAGTGATCTTAATCTGGAGGTGAATGATCAATACTATGAACCTGCAGTAAATCATCCTGCACAACCAGTGGTGTCCAATGCTAACACTACCATTAATAGTAATAAACAAGCTCTTATCTCTGATGTTTGTGTACAGTCCTCGTCTAATGTTAATCAAGACATGAAAACCCCTGTTAACAAGGATCGTGAAAAAAGTAAAGAACAAAACACACATTCACCCACCAATCGGGACTTTCGAGACCAACAGAAAAGTAATGAGTGGGACAAAAGCAAAAGTGAGGACTCCAAAAGTGAGTCTAAGAGAAAATGTAATTCCAAAGGTGTCTTTGAGCTTTTTCCAAACTCTAGTAGGAAACTTCACCAACCTGACTTTTTTGAATGTAGTGAAAAAAGCAGTCAGTCAGTGCATAAAAAACACAAATCAAAGCACAGAATCGAACTTGAAGAGGAACGAGAGCATGAGCGAGCCATTGAAAGAAAGCAGTCTGACAGTTCAAGCTACCACAGGAACTCCAAACACAAAAACCAAAGTTTCCAAGAAAACCACACCAGTAGTCTGCACAAAGACAGAGATCGAAGTGACTCGAAATATATCAAAGCCAGCCACCTTCAAAATGAGAAAGTATTAAAAACAGGAGGAGGAGATGATACTCAGTTTTCTTTGAATGAACCAACTGAGAGAAGGACAAAGTTAAATGGTAACCAAAACCTATTAGAGCAGTCTAGCAACTACAGGTATGATCTCAATGATTTGAACAATTGGCAGCAGAAGTCTGATGTAGAGCAGCAGAGTGTAACCTCTAGATTTTTAGGTGAAAAGCAGCTTAAACATCATTATATTGTACATGACAGGAGGAGACAGTTTAAAGAAGATTATAGTGACAGTGATAGTAGTGTTAGTATTAAAATTCCTGAAAAAAGAAGAAAGCTTAAAGATAATAAAAGGAAACAGTCTAAAGCAGACTTTAGTGACAGTAGTCATAAGAAAATAGATCAAGGAAGTAAATATAAAGAGGGAAAAGTGAAGCAGTTTAAAGAAGACTCTCTTGACAGTGAAAGTAGTGATAGCTATGAAGAAGAATGGGTTGAGAAAACCAAAGAGTCGTTAGAAGCAGAAACAAGAAAATTCAAACAAGCTGAAGATCTGAACATGAACAGTAAGTTTATATTGCTTAATAGATACAGATGTAATTGAAAATTATTGATAAAATTTGATTACACCTTACTCACTTTAGTATTTGAATAGAACTTCTTGCTTATTAGTCTGTTATTGTTTTACTTAATAATTAATTTTAAATAATTAATCAAATTGATAATCAGAAAATGTTACTACTGCAATGGCTAATTAGAATGAACAATGTTTTTTTTCCTTAACAATATATGTACTTGTAAGTATACAAAGTCTTTTAAATAAATGTCAAACACGTTTTTGCTGGTGTTTCCATAGTGTACTCATCCTGTTTGTAAACAGATTGATTTTATGTTAATACCTCAACCAATATCTTATTCTTTTAGTTGCTCAAAGTGACAACAGTTTTAAACATTTTAGGTTGAAATAATACCTAAAAGTAAAACGGTTTTTGTTTCATTAAGTTTTAAACTCACTTACTTTATTTGTTAATAGTTTGTGTAAAGTTTTATAAAAATTAGAAATTGACTTTAATATTGATTTAGAGTGGATAAATAATACTAACACTTCCTAGTATAGAATACTATGTAGTACACAGAAATGAATCATTATATCTCATATTATTAATATTTCAAATACAGAAAGTCAATCTTTTTTCTTTTTTATAAAATATTCAAAGCCTTTTCTGTCCATATTGAAAGTAATATTGTCATTATTGAGTTATAATATTGCTTTTAAATTTAATGACTTCTGAACATTCTACTTGGAGATAAATGTATGTGTTTATTATATGATCATATGAAACAAAGTATAAAAGTCATAGCATTATTATATAAATGTCCACACATTTTTACATTCTTGTACATTTTACAGAAATCATAACTCAAAGCTATTTATTGGTGATCAGATTTCATACTGTGAAATTGGTATTTCTGTTCCCAGCTATCTTTGGCTTTTTCTCTTTATGTATGTATGTGTGTGTGTGTCTCATTGTGTATATTTATATATGTCTGCTAAAGTTTTGAACAAATTGTAGAAAGATTAGCTATAGTACTGAACACATTATCCCTCTTCCTGTCTGATAATTTAAATAGCTATGTGACTAATTTGTGTATTCAATTCTTCCTATAGTTTTCCTTTAATTTCACAAAAATATATGAATGAATTGTAGGTATTGAACATGTTGATCTCAACTCAACTCCTTTCCATCTTTTCACCTGATACCTGTGTTACGAAGAAAGGAACATGAGATGAAAGCTGTAGTGATTGGACATATTTGCATTTTTATTTGAGCTTGTTTGTTTTTAGGACCAGGTCACAAAAGGAACAAACTTGTTTTTTACAAATCTAGGTCTGTTTATGGTTCTTGAGTTAAGGTAGGTTAAGATGCCGGCTTTGAATAACCATCGAAATGCTACTGAACTTGTATTAGTAACTTAAGGAACTTAAAACTTCTTAAATATACACAATTTAAAAATACAGATATAACATAAAGAAACACAACAAGAGAGACAGTTTTAGTTTCCATTCTTGGTTTTTTTCTTAAGTGCTAAATAAATATTTTTCTAAGCTAGTGAGGCATGATTATAATTAATTATATTTGACATAAGACATTAGTATTAGGCCTATACTTTGATTTCTGTGCTGAACTGGATTGAGAATTACCCCTTGAGAATTCACCAAAAATTATAAAATGATCATGTTCTTGGTCCCTTTGTGTACTTTCAACTACTAAAACGTAGTGTAGAATTTTCAAGTTGTAACCTGTATGTCCCTAACTTAAGTTAAAAAATGTCACAAAAAGATAAAACTTGTTTTTTTACAAACCTATGTCTATTCATGGTTCTTGAGTTATGGATATAAATTTAAGAAGAAAGCTCAAAACCATTTTCCTCTCCGTTGCAATACTTGATCATATGACTAAGTCCAATGATGTGATTTGCTTATTTATTCTCAAACTTGTGTTAATTATGATCTACTAAGTTTTGATGTTAAGTAAGTCCAAGATACCCTAATAGTCAGGCTCACATATGTCAAAAGTAATTGTATGTGTGTGTGTGTGTGTGAAGATTGAGAAAGTCTCAAAGGATTGCATACACAGGTGAAATATCATGAACCATGATGGTGGTTCAAACAGGGATCACAAGGAATTGAACAAAACCCAAATAGAATGTACAGGATAAAAGCGCCTTAAAAAAAGTATAAATTCAGTTCAAACAACACTTCAAAACCTTTACTATTGATTGCTAAGGTAGTACATGTGTAAAAATGTGCCTGCTCCCAAAGCATGCATGTTATACTTAGGAGGAAAAGAAAATCCACTCAGAATGGCTCGTTTGTAATTCTTATTATTATTATATTGCACCCAAACCTTTTGTACAATATTAAATTAAGTGCTGTGAAGGTTGTAGGGGTATTGAAAAGTCGATTTGTTTCTTATATATCTTACATTAGCTAAAAAAAACATAATTGTAGTGTAAATGATGTTACCATTACCCTTTGAAGTTAGCTTTCTTACAAGTATCTGGTGTTCCTTTAATAGGTTTGAGTACAGGATGAAATGGAAATTACCAGCCAATAATAGATGGAGGAATGAAAAAACTATATGTAATATTACATTTTATTACACACATTCATAGAATAATTACTTTAGAAGACACAAAGGTTTATTTAAAGGTAGTTACTAGCTATGTTTATTATCATTACAATACATAAAGTTAGCTACCATATCAAGTAATCCTATGCCCATAGTTAAGCATAAAATAACCCAGCAAACAAGATATATGAAAAATTTGGAATTTAAAAACCTGCAAATAGGGATCATAAAAACATGAAACAAGACTGGAGATATTGTAGACATTATATAGTCAAACTACAAATCCATATTTTGACTTTTCCAAATGTAATTTTGGGTAACAGCTTGGAGCCAAAATAGGTGTTTGTAGTTTGAGTATATAATGTCTACAGTATCTCCAGTCTTGATTCCTTATGTTTTTTATGATCCCTATTTGCAGGTTTTTCAATTCCCAATTTTTTTATCTTGTTATGTTTATATCGTGGCAGTTGTATTGGTTTAATATCTCACACAAGCCCCTGAGGGGCTTGGGAAACAACCAGTGGCACTCAGAAACTGTGGTTTCTTTTCAACCCCACATGCAAAGTTAGGGTATTGACAAGACCACTGGTATTTTGAAGAGTGGTGTCTAGTATACTGACAATTACTTACGATCAGGATAATATACTAGATGAGAATTTCTGATTTAATGGGTTGGTTGAACTTTGTAAGTTGAGTTGCCTCCAAGCACCTTTTTTAAAATTGTCAAGTTGAGAAAAAGTTGAAGGAAGAGAGAGGAAGAAGAGTTTACCTGCTTGTATTGATGCGTCGAGTTAGCCAGAGCACGTGAAATGCACATGTGATTGTTTTTGCACATGGTGGTGACATCTAGTTTGGAGGGAATATGTTGTGTTGACATAGATGACAGCGACACGAGCAGGGAGATGCAGAGTGAAGCACGTCCTGCTAACATGGAATGGTTAATGCTTAATTGTTTAGAAAACTTGAAATTTTGATATAAAGTTCAAATGGAATGAAAGATTAAAAGATTACAGAAGTGATGTCTTCAAACAAGCCAGTGGTACTTTTTATTGAGCATTTTAACAGTCTTTTAACAGATCATGGTTTTGATAGAACTGCCCTTTCCAGGGTGGCTGGATAGTTTATCCTATGCCTTACAATTTTAGATGTGGGGGGGTGGAGTACCAGAAGAAAACCCATTTTCACGGTCAAGCGCCGTATAATCTACTTGACTAGTGCCCATCCTGGGTAGCTGAAACTAACTGTTTGCTTAGTAGAGTGCATGCAATTATGGAGGTCGTGATTTAACTTTTGGACATGTGTTTGAAAATAAAATTATTTCTGGGCTATGTGTGTTTTTGCTATTTTAAGGGTGTTGAAGAGAGATGTTCAAACTTTCTTGTGAGTTTATTGCATGTCATGGCTACTTTAAAGTATTTCAAGGCGAATTTGTAAAAGCGTTGTTTGATAGAGGTGAAGTCAGTTATTCTATACATGTATTCCCGCGGTATATAGTTAGGTAATCTTATATTTTGTGTTAATTATGTGTTTTGAGTTATATACATCTGATGCTATTCTATTGTCTTAGGGTTTATGTTTTAAGGTCAGAAATTTTATTAAAGTTTATGCTAGGATAACCCAATTAAATGTTGTGCTTGTTTTTAACTTCTGCTTTGTTTTTATTATAATCCAAAATAAGGAATTCTTAAAACTTTTATTACTTCAGAAACTACAATATTGCACTCTGTGAAATGTTCACGTCAATAGTAACCATTGAAACAAAACTGGATGTCACTTCAGAAACTACAATATTGCACTCTGTGAAACGTTCATTTGAATAGTAACCATTTAGATGAAACTGACTGTAGAATTCTTAAAACCTTTAATATTTGGCAGAGTTATTCTGATGACATTGAAAATGAAAAGTCTTAGGAATGATCTGAAAGGTCCTATTTTAGAAAAGAAATTCATGGGAAAATTTAAACTTATAATGCATATCAAACAATATACATCTTTCAATTACACTTCTAATTAATTAATAAATGTGTGAAATTAATTTTTTTTTTTTTTGATAATCAAATATTCCAATTGAAACAAAAAATCAAAGATGGCTTCTTTTGCATGAGCTAAGAATGCTAAGTTTTATATTGTGAATTTGTAAAGGCTCCCTCTCCCTCCTCTGAGAGTGGACCTGAATTTCTGCCATACAAAAGTGTGGAATTAACCATGAAGTAGTATGTTTAGTTTGTTTATTGATTTTTTTCATCTATTTTTTGTTTTACCTTAGAGAATGTAGTTCTCATGAAATTGTTAATCATTTTTTAATAAATTGTCTCCTAGAAATCTCCATTGATGTAAAAGTCTAATGTATCATTAAGTTCAAGGAATGAAAATATTACCATGATTTTAATTAAATGTTGTTCAGAGTACATTAAATACTTTTCACTTTAAAGATTTGGGTGTTCTAGAATTTGGTTACAAGTATCAAAATAACAGGACTTTGTGTTAATCTGTTATGTGAAATGTATGGCATATACATGTATTCTTGTTTCACAATTTTACTGAAGGCTTTTTCGGTTGTAAACAGAATGTTTTTTTTTGTTTTTTATTACAAGCTATATGCTTTTGTCATACTCAACTATGAATGGATATTAATATGGTATTTAGTAATCATGAAGATGTAATAAAGGGTGGTAGAAAGAACAAATTAATTGATATATCGCTGATAATTCACTGTAAATATTTGTCCATACACTATAATTACAACTTTAAAAGAAATAAATACAAAAAAAAACTAAATTAGGTAGATCAACACAAATTTATAGAAATTTTTGTGATTTGATTGTATATAAATAAATGAACTTATAATTTATAAAAAATATTATAGTTGTTTATACAGTCTTGTCCCCTGGTGGGACTGCAGTAAGTCTTCGGATTTACAATGCTAAAATCAGGGGTTCGATTCCCCTCAGTGGACACAGCAGATAGCCTGATGTGGCTTTGCTATAAGAAAAAAACACAGTCACTTGTGCAGTTAGACCAACTTTGTTTTTTTATTAATTGCTTCTGTTAAGTTTCTCAATTAGGCTCATTACTCTATTAAAACTAAATATGATGTTAAAATTATGAACAGCACTCATTAGAATGAATATTGCTTTTAGGTCAGTGCAAACTTCAAAAGACTGTCTCTCTTTAGCTGTTTTATATTTTTTCAAATGCATTTTAATTTTGCCATGTATAAGAAAGTCTTTCTGGTTTTCATGTTGCTTATATTGATGTTTTTTTCAGTGGTGCCAAGTAAAGTTTGGGATGAAGATATTCAAGTTAGCCAGGACCAGTATAAGCATAGTGCTTCTAGTGTTCGGTGGGATGGCAGTCAGAAATCAGACGTCTTGACAGAACTACTCAAATGTTCAAACAAAATTTATGGAGGAGAAGGTTTGAGTTTATTGCCTTTATACATCAGTATTTTTGCTTGTTGTCATATAGAATGTTGTGATGCTCACAGCTCAAATTTCATATTTTTTCATATGACAGTCCATCATTACACAACTTTCACCATGGCTGTGTGCCATTCTATGAAGGTCATCAGTTTTAATGTTGTCAAGTGTCCCAATTATGATCTTGGTAATATTAAAAGTTGTTAAAACAATTAGTTATGTGTTTGTGCTAGTTTCTTAAAAACTAAGTATTTGGACATTAATTTAAAGCAACTCTTCAATAATGAGACTATTTTTACAAATTCACCAAAATTTAATTACTCGTGTGTTTTTCATTTCATATTCAAAGCGAAACAGTCTTAAATAATACTAGGCTCCTAGTCCAATATCTCTTGTATAAAAAAAACTTCTCAGCATGGTTGTGGCTGATGCAGTGCACAAAGTTTGAGGTTACATCATTATGTTGGATTTACCCCTCCTCATTTGTGTTGAGTTTTAAAGCCAAAAGCTGACTTTTGTTCTCAGAAGTGGCAAAGTCTTTAGGCAGAATTTTGTAAAATTATTGAAAAGTTTTATGTTGACATTTTTGTGGTGAAGTTAATAATTATATTTACATACATAAACTAATGAAAGTTAGAGTTACAATTCCAAAATTAATGTATGTGTATGTAGTTTTATATTGCTGTTTCCAGAAGAACTAATGAAAAATTTTTTAAACTTCTTTATGACTGTTGTTTTTTTTATTCATTTTCTGAACTAAATGCTCCAAGTAATTAATTTTTTTATAAATGCAAGATGACAAAAAATCACCTATAGATTGAATTTAAAATTGTTCAGTTAATTAGAGTACTTTACCTGCACTAATACTAAATAACGGTATCGGCCAGTATAGTTGGGTAACCATTGGCTATCAGTATCGACCAATAAAATTTTAATTGGTACACACCTACTTATAAATATTCAAGGTTTTTTTTTGGGGGGTGGGGGTGTTCTCCTATTTGGCAATCAACTATGTGGGAAAGGTTTGAAAAACTTATTCCTTTATCTTAAGATTAGGATGTTTTGTTTTAGTAATCTCCATTTAACATAGAGCAGAAGTAAAGAATCTAAGTCTGCCCAAGAAGTTCAACTTTTGTCGTTATTTCTAATTGGTCTTCTGTTTTGTGTTAGTGTAAAGTGTAAGGCATTGCTTACCCATTTTTTACAGACACTTGTTAAAGACTACAGGGTTGAGTATACTATATTTAAACAATGTTGAATATACAAGTTGTGACAACCACAACTGGCATAAATTCATAGTGGAACAGAATGTATCATACTACATTTGGTAAATGTTTGGCCTATTATAGGTAGTGTGATGCCACCTAAAATTGACCAATCACTTTTGGGAAGCTTACATAACAGTCCTTTACAATGCAAAATCTTCATATCCTTGGATCATAAAGATGTATTCAGATCATGAACTTAGAATTTCGAAGATGGGGATATTCATTGTACTTAATGCCATTGGGAAACAAAGGAATGAAGATCAACTTGGGGAACTGGGATCATTCTGAAAGAGATCTACAACAAGTCATACTACAGCTGTGGTAAGCAAGTGTGACATCTTGTAACTGGTGAGAGTCCATAAACACAGTTCAGTGGAAAAAGCCATCCATGTGTACAAGTAAATGTACACAAGTTGCTATATAACATGTTTGTTCAACCATCACACACTTCAAACAGCTGAAAAATGAAATGAGTATTTCTGATATTCCATATGAAGACAATACCAGTCAGTCATCAGCTGCAGTACTTGTGTGATCTGACTGTTGAAACAGCTGTTGAGAAACTATCATCCTTGTACACCAGATGGACTGTGGAAAGCAGTAGAGAGGAGTGTGCTTTGGATATGACAGCCTTAAATGGAGCCTTTTGCAATGGAAACTCTACCAAAGAGTTAATGCTAAGATGTTTGTTCATCAGATAAAGCATAACCAGATGTGGTGACATAGAGTGTAATGACATGGGGGTTCTCCAAAATTGTTTTAATGTAATGTATTCAACTCTCTGTTCAAAGGTTTCATTACTACACCATTCACTTTTTTTTCAAATGCCAAATTAGCAGGATACAGTTTGCTTTGATTAATAAAATGTTTTGTTAAAAACGTTTGGGAAATTTGCTGTTTGCAAAAGTTTCAGATCTATTCATCTCAAAGATTTTTATCTTTAATTTCAACTCATATTTTGTTTTCATTATAACACCATTCTAATAGCTTCAAATATACATTATTTTTTATATCATAGTGACAGTTTCATTGTTTCTATAGTTTTAATGACTTTTCTCTTTTAGTGAAATCATGGGATGGGAATACAAGTCATCTTGATCAAATCTCTCAGAGTGAAGCTAGACAAAAACAACAGAATTCAGACACTTATGATGAAGAATATGACAAGGGAAAGGTATATTAGTTTTAAGGATGAATAAGAAGTAGAGTATAAAACCATCATTGCTAATTCAAATAAAGTAAAATGAATATTTTATAAAAACAAATTCCTTAAATAGATTTCAATTATTTCACTGATTGTGATCAGGCAGGATGAAATGTGTATGCCACAATATTTTATCAGCAGTGTTTTAATTATTGTACTCATGGGTCTGGTTCCTAGTTAAAAGTATTGTAATAGTGTCATTTAATAAGACTTTATTAAACATTTAATTGAAAAAAATTACAGTGTAATCAAGTCATCGTACTTCAGTCAGTGCCATGCTTTAAACTGGGAATTAGAAAAGTATTTTTCTCATTAAAAATGTTTTTTTCTTTATATTTAATTAATTATTCTATACTATATGACTGCTTGACTGCCAATAAAGTAACATGGTAATGTTCCATCTATTGTGAAGCAGTCAACCACATAGTTTCACTGTAACGCTATATAGTAGTAAGTTGTTTCTTTGTGTTTTTTAGATGAAGAAGGTGAAGAAGCATTCTTATGAGACTACATTTTCCTCCTCCAACCCATTCCAGAAACTGTACAATCATAAAAGAGAAAGAAAAGATCATTATTCCTCTGTAGGTTTACTTTTATCTCTTCATAGTAACATGCTTATATATTTTGCAAAGCTTCTCTTACCCATTTTTGCTTTTGTTGGAAAATGAAACTGGGACATTAGCTTCAGTGCATGTATTTGATATTGCACTCTTTAAACTATGTAACTTCTTTGTCTTAAAATTATCCAAGAAGGCTAACTTCTCAAGTCAAATTTTATATGTAAGTAAAATGTGTCTGGTTTTTGAATTTATTTTTAATTTTTTTTAAACTCCTTTTAACCTCTGATAAAGCCCAGATTAACCAGATGTAGATAGAAAAACATGGTTATTAATTCTTAATCAATTTTAAAAAGTTATGGAGAAAAACATTTAAAACTGAAACTTCTAAATTAGGCTTAGTTTTCAGAAAATTATAAGCTTTTCATAACTACAGAGGGTTAAGAACGTTGTATTAGAACAGTTTTGGAGCCTTGCCACATTGTGGTCCATGTCACCACATCTGGTCATGCAGCTTGACAATAATCCTGCAGTTAGTTTTAATTCAAAAGGTTGTTATATCCAAACTGTATTACTTCTCCCTGTATGCTTTTCTTAATTCATCTAATGTATGAGCATGATGGCTTTCCTGTGCCCATTTCAATAGTATGATCACAAAGACATGATTTGTATATCTTCTTATGGAATGACATTAATACCTATCTCACTCTCCACATGCTTGAGGTATGAAACAGTTGAACAGAAGGTATAACTGGAAGTCATACCTTTCTGAACCCATACCTTGTTGGTCTTGTTTCCAGATAGAGACCCTTCTTAATTATATAGTGCACTGATGCCTGAAGCATATGAACGACCTTGCAAATGATTTTGCCCTTTGTGAATTCTCACCTGTTACAAGATGCCACACTTTGCTTACCACAGTTAGAGTACAACATGTTGCAGTTCTCTTTTGGAGATTGTCCTGATGCCCAAGTTGATCCATATTCCTTTATTTTTAATACCATTAAGTACAACAAATATAACCCGCTTGAAAATTTAATATCCTTGATCTGAACATATCTTTATTATAGAAGTATATGAATATTTTGTAATTTCCAATGGCTGTTACTTGCCCTTCCTAAAAGCAGTCACTTTTTGGTGACATCACACTATCTATGAAATGCCAAACATTGTCACAATGTGTTCTTATACATGCTGTTCCACCATGGCTCTATATTAGCTGTAGTTATCACATAATTTGCTGATTTGTATATTCAAAATCATTTTAGTATAACATTATCAACCATGTGTTTCTATATACCTGGTGAAATTATCTTTCTTTTAAAACTAACTGAGAAGTAGACCTTATCATTGATTTAGTGTTTGTTATGGACTAAACAACATTTTATCAGACTACTAGCCAAACTGGCATTTTATTCACATTAGTATGTTGG